ATTTAAAGCATCTTTGTTCCCTGCCAACAAGATCCAAAGGGTGCTGAATGCTTTCTACTTCTTTAATGGTTTGTCTACACTTGAAATTCAGATTAAGGTAGGGTTTGAATTTAGAGCACAACAGCTATTTGGAATAACTGTGTGGACACTATTTGTCCATAGTATCAATGCCCACACAGGGAATTATTCAGAAATAATAAGAAAATATTCCTGAGTAACTCCAGTTTAAGCCCTAATCTGAAACCACTTCCCAAGTAGAGCCAGCAACATCAGATGCTTTTGGGCAGGACCATTTGTGGGCTGAAGGGTCACTATCAAGAGAAGGCACTTAATAGGCCACATTATTATTTGTTTGTATTACAATAGTCCCTAGAGACCAACCCAGCATGGAGCCCCATTGTGCCAGGAACTGTACCAACACAGAGCAGCAACAAATTCCTACCTTGGAGAGTTTACAATCTAAACACAAGCTGAAAATACCCTATGTTTAAAGGGCTGGTTTTTTTGGCCTTGTGGGGACACCACTTCCAGGGCACCCTCTCAAGGCATGAGCCGGGGGCCATGCAGCCCCCTCCCTCAGTAACTTTCCACACTCTAAAGTATTTAAAACAAAACTCTCCTTCTGGGAGGGATAGGGGGAGGGTGCTTGAGGGAGGGTGCATGAGGCAAGGTGAGGTGGGGTGTGGTGCTGGCTAGGTGGGTGCTGAGGGGAGGGTGCCCGGGGTGGGACAAATACTGGCTACCTGGGTGCCGGGGAACAGTGCTTGGAGCAGGATGGCGTGCTGGCTGGCTCGCTGTTGGGGGAAGGGTGCCTAGGATGGGGTGGGTGCTGGCTGGCTGGGTGCTAACAGAGGGTGGCAGGAGTGGGATAGAGAGTGCTGGCTAACTGGGTGTGGGTGCCCAAGGTGAGAGGGTGCAGGCTGGATTGGTGCTGGAGAAGGGTGCCTGGGGGGGTGAACGGTGTTTGGGGCACATAGGTGCTGGCAGAGGGTGCCCAGAGTGGGTGCTGGCTAGGTGCTAGGGAGGGTGCCTGGGGTGGATGTTGGCTGGGTGCTGGGGAGGGTGCCCAGGGTGGGAGCTGGCTGCCTGGGCACTGGGGGAGGGTGCCCAGAACGGGTGCTGGCTAGGGAGGCTGCCTGGGGCAGGTGCTGGCTGGGTGCTGATGCGGGTGCCCAGGGTGGATGTTGGGTGGGGGCTGGGGAGGGTGCCCGGGGTAGGTGCTAGCTGGGGGCTGGGGAGGGTGCCCGGCGTGGGTGCTGGCTGGCTCGGGAGGGTGCCTGGGGTGGATGTTGCCTGGGTGCTGGGGAGGGTGCCTGGGACTGGTGCTGGCTGAGGATGAGGAGGGTGCCCGGGGTGGGAACTGGCTGGCTGAGGGCTGGGGAGGGTGCCTGTAGCGGGAGCTGGCTGGCTGGGGGCTGGGGAGGATGCCTGTAGTGGGAGCTGGCTGGCTGGGAGCTGGGGAGGATGCCTGGGGTGGGGGCTGACTCGGAACTGGGGGAGGGTGCCCAGGGCAGGTGCTGGCTGGGTGCTGATGCAGGTGTCTGGGGCGGATGTTGGCTGGTGGCTGGGGAGGGTGCCCGGGGTGGGAGCTGGCTGGCTGGGGAGGATGCCTGGGGTGGGTGCTGGCTCAGCACTGGGGGAGGGTGCCCAGGGCAGGTGCTGGCTGGGTGCTGATGCAGGTGTCTGGGGCAGATGTTGGCTGGGGGCTGGGGAGGGTGCCTGGGGCAGGTGCTGGCTGGCTGGGCAGGGTGCCCGGGGCATGAGCTGCCTGGTGCTGGGGAGGGTGCCCAGGGCGTGAGCTGGCTGGCTGGGGGCTGGGGAAGGTGCCCGGGGCATGAGCTACCTGGTGCTGGGGAGGGTGCCCGGGGTGTGAGCTGGCTGGCTGGGGGCTGGGGAGGGTGCCCGGGGCGGGTGCTGCCTGGGGCTGGGGAGGGTGCCCGGGGCGGGAGCTGCCTGGGGGTGGGGAGGGTGCCAGGGGTGGGTGCTGGCTTGGCACTGGGGGAGGGTGCCCAGGGCAGGTGCTGGCTGGGTGCTGATGCAGGTGTCTGGGGCGGGTGCTGGCTGGGGGTGGGGAGGGTGCAGGGGGGTGGTAGTGGGGGTGGGGAGGGTGCGGGGGGGCTGGAGGTGGGGGGGTGGGGGGGGACGGGGGGGGGGCGGAAGCCGGAGGTGGGGGGGGGGGGGGGGGGGGGGGGGGGGGGGGGGGGGGGGTGGGGGGGGTGGGGGGGGGGGGGGGGGGGGGGGGGGGGGGGGTGGGGGGGGGGGGGGGGGGGGGGGGGGGGGGGGGGGGGGGGGGGGTGGTGGGGGTGGGGGGGTGGGGGGTGGGTGTGGCTGGCGGGGTGGGGAGGGGCCGGGGGGTGTGGTGGTGGGGTGGGGAGGGGGGGGGGGTGGGGGGGGGTGGGGAGGGGGGGGGGGTGTGGTGGGGGTGGGGAGGGTGGGGGTGGGTGTGTGGTGGGGGTGGGGAGGGAGGGGGGGTGGGGTGGGGGGGGCGGGGGGTGGTGGTGGGGGCTGGGGAGGGGGGGGGGGTGTGGTGGTGGGGAGGGTGGGGGGTGGGTGCGCGGGGGGGCTGGGGGGGGCCTGGGGGGGTGTGGCGGTGGGGGGGGAGGGGGGGGGTGGGGGTGGGGGGAGGGGCCGGGGGGGGGCTGGGGCTGGGGGGGGGGGGGGGGGGGGGGGGGGGGGGGGGGGGGGAGGGGGGGGGGGGGGGGGGGGGGGGGGGGGGGGGGGGGGGGGGGGGGGGGGGGGGGGGGGGGGGGGGGGGGGGGGGGGGGGGGGGGGGGGGGGGGGGGGGGGGGGGGGGGGGGGGGCGGGGGGGGAGGGGGGGGGATGGTGGGGGGGGGGTGAGGGGGGGGGGGGGGGGGGGGGGGGTGGGGGGGGGGGGTGGGGGTGGGTGCTGCGGCTGGGGCTGGGGAGGGGCCCGGGGGGGCTGGCTGGTGGGGTGGGGAGGGTGGGGGGGGTGCTGGCTGGCTGGGGGTGGGGGAGGGTGCCAGGGGCGGGTACTGGCTAACTGGGGGCTGGGGAGGGTGCCCTGGGCAGGAGCTGCCTGGGGGTGGGGAGGGTGCCCAGGGCGGGTACTGGCTAGCTGGGGGCTGGGGAGGGTGCCCGGGGCGGGAGCTGCCTGGAGGTGGGGAGGGTGCCGGGGGCGGGTACTGGCTGGCTGGGGGCTGGGGAGGGTGCCCGGGGCCGAAGCTGCCTGGAGGTGGGGGAGGGTGCCCGGGGCGGGAGCTGCCTGGGGCTGGGGAGGGTGCCGGGGGCGGGTACTGGCTAGCTGGGGGCTGGGGAGGGTGCCCGGGGTGGGAGCTGCCTGGGGCTGGGGAGGGTGCCCGGGGCGGGTGCTGGCTGGCTGGGGGCTGGGGGAGGGTGCCGGGGGTGGGTGCTGCTGGCTGGGGGAGGGTGCCCGGGGCGGGAGCTGCTGGCTGGGGGCTGGGGGAGGGTGCCCGGGGCGGGTGCTGGCTGGCTGGGGGTGGGGAGGGTGCCGGGGGTGGGTGCTGGCTGGCTGGGGCTGGGGAGGGTGCCCGGGGCGGGTGCTGGCTGGCTGGGGCTGGGGAGGGTGCCGGGCGGGTGCTGGCTGGCTGGGGGCTGGGGAGGGTGCCGGGGTGGGTGTGGCTGGCTGGGGGAGGGTGCCGGGGGTGGGTGCTGCTGGCTGGGGGCTGGGGAGGGTGCCCAGGGCGGGGAGCTGCCTGGGGCTGGGGGAGGGTGCCCGGGGCGGGTGCTGGCTGGCTGGGGGCTGGGGAGGGTGCCCGGGGCGGGTGCTGGCTGGCTGGGGAGGGTGCTGGGGGTGGGTGCTGCTGGCTGGGGGCTGGGGAGGGTGCCTGGGGCGGGTGCTGGCTGGCTGGGGCTGGGGAGGGTGCCGGGGGTGGGTGCTGCTGGGCTGGGGGAGGGTGCCCGGGGCGGGAGCTGCCTGGGGCTGGGGAGGGTGCCCGGGGCGGGTGCTGGCTGGCTGGGGCTGGGGTGGGTGCGGGGGTGGGTGCTGCTGGCTGGGGCTGGGGAGGGTGCCGGGGCGGGTGCTGGCTGGCTGGGGGTGGGGAGGGTGCCCGGGCGGGTGCTGGCTGGCTGGGGCTGGGGAGGGTGCCCGGGGGGGTGCTGGCTGGCTGGGGGTGGGGAGGGTGCCGGGGGTGGGTGCTGCTGGCTGGGGGCTGGGGAGGGTGCCGGGCGGGTGCTGGCTGGCTGGGGGTGGGGAGGGTGCCGGGGGTGGGTGCTGCTGGCTGGGGGCTGGGGAGGGTGCCCGGGGCGGGAGCTGCCTGGGGCTGGGGAGGGTGCCCGGGGCGGGTGCTAGCTGGCTGGGGCTGGGGAGGGTGCCAGGGGTGGGTGCTGCTGGCTGGGGGCTGGGGAGGGTGCCCGGGGCGGGTGCTGGCTGGCTGGGGGCTGGGGTGGGTGCCGGGGGTGGGTGCTGCTGGCTGGGGCTGGGGAGGGTGCCCGGGGCGGGTGCTGGCTGGCTGGGGCTGGGGAGGGTGCCGGGGGTGGGTGCTGGCTGGCTGGGGGTGGGGAGGGTGCCGGGGGTGGGTGCTGCTGGCTGGGGCTGGGGAGGGTGCCCGGGGCGGGTGCTGGCTGGCTGGGGCTGGGGAGGGTGCCCGGGGCGGGTGCTGGCTGGCTGGGGGTGGGGAGGGTGCCGGGGGTGGGTGCTGCTGGCTGGGGCTGGGGAGGGTGCCCGGGGCGGGTGCTGGCTGGCTGGGGCTGGGGGAGGGTGCCCGGGGCGGGTGCTGGCTGGCTGGGGCTGGGGAGGGTGCCGGGGGTGGGTGCTGCTGGCTGGGGGTGGGGAGGGTGCCGGGGGCGGGTGCTGGCTGGCTGGGGGTGGGGAGGGTGCCGGGGGTGGGTGCTGCTGGCTGGGGCTGGGGAGGGTGCCCGGGGCGGGTGCTGGCTGGCTGGGGGTGGGGAGGGTGCCGGGGGTGGGTGCTGCTGGCTGGGGGTGGGGAGGGTGCCGGGGGTGGGTGCTGCTGGCCCGCTGGCTCTCTCCGGCCCGGCACATTCCAGGCAGGCGCACAGAGGAGCTCGGCGCGGGGGCGGGCAGCTGGGCAGCGCGCCCGGGGCACCGGCCAGGCTGGGCACCGCCACTCCGCTCCCAGCGCTGGATCCGCAGCAGGAGCCCATGGAGCCGGCGGGGCCGGAGCCAGGAGCCGGCGCGGGGCCGGAGCGGGGCGCGGAGGAGATTGACATGTCCCTGGGTAGGTGCCGGACCCTGTCCCGCCGAGCGCCCTGCCAGGGCTCCCCCGGGCGCGCAGCCTGGAGCGCTTGGCGAGGCAGAGCGCACCGTGCGCCGGGCGCCGCCGGGGCCGGGGCCGCGGCGGGCGGCGCGGGGATCTGCGCGGGGCTCAGCCCCTTGCGCTGGCGTTTGCCGCAGCCCTGCGAGGGGCCCCTCCGGGCTTGGCTCGGGGCTGCAGGCTGGGCCGGCGCCCTGCCCCGCTGGGTGAACTCCTGGGCCGGCTGGCGGAGCTACCCCAGGGCGCGCCCCGGCTGGTGTCCCAGAGCTCCTGGCCGCGGCAGCCTGCCCTGGCCGCCGGAGCTGGGGGTGACCGGGGGGTTCCCCGCGCCCGGCAGCACGCCCAGGGCAGCAGCGGGGGCTGGGGGCCCGCCCTCCGCACAAGGCCATGGCCATGAAATCATCCCGCCCCCCTCTGCAAAGGGGGCAGAAATCCTGGGGGGAGGCAAGCCCCGATTGGAGCCTTTCCTTGCTGCCTGTAAACACTGCCTGTGTGCGGAAGGACTCAAACGGGGCTTACGGGCCAGGGAGCCGCAGCTGCCACCCTGAAATCCGGGGTCACTGAGGCGAGGGCCCGGCCCGGGCTCCGCAGGCAGTCAGAGTCTGGGTAGACACAAACAAACACCGAGAAAAGAAAGTGGTGTTGAGTGGGGTGCTGCTTGCCCCACACGCTCGGCACAGGTGGAGCAGGACCCGGGTTCGGCTCAGCCCGGGCAAGCAGCTTCCTTTCGGGTCTTTACAGCGATCAGGTTCCTAGGGAATGACATTTAAAAAATGACCATGTGGCCTTTGCTGGGATATTTGGGATGCTTCTGTTCTAAGGAGGAGGAATATTGTGAACATGGTGAAAAGCCAAATACCACAGCAGGGAAAATGCTGACCTTTTTCTGTTGTGCTGGACTAAAAGAAAACAAGAAAAAGGAATTGACCCAGTGCACTTTGACTGGATGAGGTGGATTAGATGCCCAAGTGTGTCATGTCTCTTTGAAAAATTCGGCCTTTATTTATAAATAAACTTAGTTCCCAGTTGCAGCAGAATCTAGGAATTTTAGGGGCCTAGTCAACTGCCATGGATATTAATGGGAGCTGAGTAGACCCTTACCAAGGAATAGTAACATCAGAATAGCAGTTTTGTCAGGTTTCCCCCCTGTATTTTGAGGTTTCTGTTATATGACATAGGCCCCCGTAGATTATACAGAAAGACAACAGGCTGTCAGGCATACAGAACTTGCAGCATAAAATATAAAGATCAAGGTGACATTCCAAGAGAATGTATGGATGTAATAAATGTACCATGTGTGTTTTAAAGGACAGAAAAAAGATCAGGTGAAAAAAAATCATAGTTTAAAAAACGGACTCTGAACGCTGCTGAGACACAACCTAACTTCAGAGCTGAACGTTTCAAACCCAGGACATTGGAGGGAGACTGATAAATGGACCCTCGGCCGAAATGAAAACATGAGCCAGGGCCTGTGGTCACTTAGTGCTGAGACTATTTGTAGCAGCTCACTCATTAGGCCAGTCAGTTTTCTGGCAGTGAATATGTTGATCTGGGCATAAACAACTGTCCTTTTATTAAGTCACAAGGTTTGGGATAGAGCTCCTGGAGGGTTATTACACTGACATTTTCATTCTATGAACAAACTTTGCCAGGCTTTAATTGGTGGGTTAGCTTCATACTTTTCACAGATGCACTGGACCATTTCTATCCAGATACAGTAGAAATTCTGGAGCAGAACAACAGAAAGTTATATTTTTTTCACAGAAAACCCAGAGCCAGATCCTTGGCTTGGTGTGAATTGATGTAGCTGACTGACTTCAATGGAGCTCTGCTGATTTACAGCCTCCGAGGATCTGGCCCCTAATTTCACTATTTGTTTTTGGTTACATTTAGTGACCCTAGCCCTGAGTCCTCTGAGGTGTGGTTGTCCCCTCCTTACTGAGCTCCCACGGAAGGTGGTGCTCAGTGGCAGGTTTGGAGGCTCACTTTTAGCAGAACCTTTATGATCCATTTCTATTTGTAATCCCTGCAAAGTACACCTACCTCAAGGGGAAGGTTAATTTGGCAATGTAGGGGCTGCAGCTCTAAGGAGACGCTTTCAGCATCAAAATCAGGTCTTTGGCTCTTCATTTTCAGCTACATAGGGCTGACTTACACCACTGTCAATCAGGAGTAACTCTTCTTAAGTTAAAGGAGACACAGTGATGTAAAGTGGGTATAAAAGGGAGATCAGAAGCAGGTTCATAGCTCCTAATCCCACTGCTGAAGGCCTCTGTGATAAGAGTTTATACTGCAAAGGAAGAAGGGAGTGGGGGGAGGGAGTCCTCCACTGGATTGTCCCACTTACACATCGAGCTAGATATTTCTGCTCTGACACCAACCAAAGATCTGTCCCACTCCACTGTAGATGCGGATATTATATGCCCAAGACTTTAAGAGTTCCTATGCACAGTCCCACAGCAGAAAATTATTTTTCATCATTGCTGTCTCTTCTCTACAGTATTTACTTACGACAATAAAGCCAGGTCCCAGACAGCCCCAAGGTAACCGTTGCTATACCTATTTCTTTTTCAACATGGAAAGGTGGTCAAGCAAACAACTGAGTATTTTTCACTTACAGCAAAGGGAGAGCGATTTCCATCAGTCCTCTGAGCCCAGCATCAGCTCCCCGTTCCCTCCTCCACCAGGAGCAAGCAGGGACTCAGCTAGTAACGCATGTCAAAGATGTCTGTGCTCCAAGAAGCACATGCCTCACTGGCACACTTCAGTGAGACCATTAAAGCACATTAACACTGAGACCACCCCATGGGCTCGGCTCCTGGCAGGCAGGGTAGCAAAATCACAAAAGCAGGCAGGGAGTCTAGTCTCACTCATACCTGACATTGTTCACTTACTCTGGGTCTTGTATTCCTTTGGTTCTTGGTATTTTTGATAGAGATTGACAAATGACAAGCACTTGAGGAGTGATTTGTACCCACAATAATGGCTCTAGGAAATCTCCTGGCATACAGCCACCTCCAAAAAAAAAAAACCAAACACCTTCTACCAGTCTCTGCATAAGAAGGGGGGAAGTGAGTGTTCCATTATAAGCCTGGTTTTGACAGCCCTTCTCCCACTAATTCAGTGAAAACTGAAACAATCTGTCTGGAATTCCATATACTTTATCTGATGACAGGTTGGAATTTTTCTGGAAAGTTTGAGGCACATTGAATGAGTTTTGGAACTATGAGATTATAAAGGTACTTTTCATTTCTTGAACCTCTTCCTCATTTTAATTAATTTATTTATTTTGGTGCACCAGACTTCAGAACCCTTTGGGTTACAAAGCCTAGATTTATTTTAACCCACCTTGTTGAGAACTGGAGCCTTTGGCTAACTGGGGAGGGTTTCTTAGGAGAATTGTTTAGCTAAAAGCAGTTGAAGCATGCATAAAGTGATCCAGAGGCAACATGCTGCCTTGTAGAGAGCGTAAGAAGTTTGCAAAAGATGGATGCTAGCTTCCAAAACTGTGCAAAGCTCCCAGGCACATCCTAAGTAACCCACATGAGGCAGGAGCTCTTTCTGCAGCCTCTCAGAGTAGCAACACCATGTTCTATCCTAAGGTGCACAGCTGCTTTTGTCTAGTTTAAGTGTTTCTAAAGCATGTCCTATCACAGTGGTCTATAGGCACAGGTATGTGTTTAAGGAAGCCTGCAACTAACAGAAATACAGGTGCCTGACTGGAGCTGAACCAGCAAAAAACTGGAGTAAGACCGTGGTGAAGAGAGAGAGAGAGAGCGAGCGGGAGAGAGATATCTTCTCCTTCCTGCTGCCGTAATGCCACTAATTTAGGTTTAAATGTATAAGGGTTTAATCACAACCCAGCTGTGAGGAGAGGAAAAGTTAACTGCAGCCATATGAATGGGTGGCACTGTACAGGCTCAGGACCACTAATTTGGCAACAGAGTCCAGCAGAAGACGACATGAACAACAGCATGGTCTCATGCTGTCAACACTGTGACCCAGGATCTCTTTCTCCTACTGAACAAACAGTTAAAAGCCCCTGATCTGTTTAGAGCTAATTATAGGCCCTGCAGCAGGTGTTCTGTGGAGGTCTGGGACATTGGCAGTATTGCCTGGTTGCCTTTGCTGTGTGGCGATCTGGGACATTAGCAGTATTGCCTGGTTCCTTTTTGTTTGTATTTTAAACCCCTTTCTTCCCATTTGTGGTGAGGCAGAGTTGAGGATGACTCAGAGCTGACAGGTGGCGCTGTCCCAGTCACTAACCCGTTATAGAGCAGGACAAGAGCCAGCAGATTGCTCTCTCCTTTCCCTGTAGAGGCAGTGGGCGAGTCCCAAAATACCTAGCTGCCGCTGCTGGCCATGGAGCAAACATGGAAACGGAATCCCTCTGTTCAACATGAGACATAATAGCTAGGAGGACAGAAGAGGGATCTGTTAGAGAGAGCGTGCCGCCCGGCCATGAAACTCAGGCATTTCCCCACTCTGTGCTCATCTGCTTGTCCCTCAGTGCTACAGGATGATACCGGCTTGATCCGACCGTTCTTTTTCAGCTCATGGGCCCCCATCCAACAGTTTTAGTGCATGTTCCAGACACCTGGAGAAGTGTCACCAACCCCAGGGATTCAAAAGTCCTGAGTCAGGTCACTGAAAATCAGGAGATTGTCTGAAAAGTAATGAGACTTTAAAATATAATAGTAATAATACCGTGTGAGTTGTTTTTATTTGCCTGCTGGTTTCTGAACTTTCGAAGCATTCACAATTTCAAAGTTTTTCCTTGCAAGCAGCAGGGCTAGAAATTTACTTGTATTTTTTAAATGGAAACAGAGATTCTCACGTAATCTCATGACTCCTGGAGCTGCGGCTTTATGAAAAAAATCACAAGATGCATGATAGATCCCTGAGAGTTGGGAACACTGTCAGGGCTATACACCTTTACTGATGTCAGCTTAAATGAACTCAGACCCCTAATGAGTGTGACCCCTCATTTATCACCCCACTTTCAGGCCTTTATCATTGCTGTGCCTTGGTTTTTCCATTTGTAAAATGCGGAGTTGTCAGGACAATTAATTCATTAATGGTTGTGCCAGCATGACTTGAAATGGCCGTTTTCTCTGTTTTTTTTCCTCTGTGTTTTCCAATCCAGATGACATCATAAAGCGCCACAGGAAAGGACAAACAGGTGCAAAGTTAGTAGGGGACAAACGAAGGCAGCAAGTCAAGAACAGGAATTCAGCATATGGAAACGGGAGACCTAGGTTCCGTACCTGGATGCAACGAAACCTGCAAGGTATGTAAATGCTGAAGTGCAGCCATAGGAACTAAGGAGATGTTTAGGATGGAAGGATGCCTGTGAAGCCAGCCACACTGACTTTCCTCTTTCAAGAGTACATTTGCATACCAAGCGATATCATCCCAAACCTTTGCTTCTCTAATCCTGCGTGGTTGTAATACCTACTTTTGCTCTTGGGAGCTTAGCAAAAGGGAATTTGTCTGTAACAATTGACTATCTAGGTTCTTTCAAAGCATAAATTCATGCCTTTCTCCCCCTCCTTCCTTCCTCATGAATTACTAATTCAAAATGACTTAATATCAACTCTTCCCTTTTGAATTTTGCATATTTTAATTATACTCTTCCTAATCCCCCCTTTTCCCAGAACACACCCAGAAAATTACCCCTTAGGTCACCCTCTGACTCGGTTATTGGAGTTAATTTGTCATTGTGGTTGAATCCATTATTTTTAGGACGTGCTTTGAATCATAAAGTGTGACCACACAATAATCTACATCGGCTCTACTAGTTTTTAGCCACAAAGCTCAAGTGACTTCTTTTGTGCATCTTAGAATTTTTCCGTCTGTTTTTTACTGCTGTTAAACAAGTTTGCTGAGGTTTATTCTGCTCGATCTTAAATATTTCTCTTCTCAGTGCAAACGGTCTGCAGTGCAGTATGAGTACTGAGCATAGGTCCTGTTTGTGTTTGCCTTTCTCTTGTTACATTCTCATTCAGCACAATGAGCATCACTGAATTTGCTAAGGTTCAGAAGAAGTTACTCTTATTTTACCCTAGCAAATTGGGCAAAACATTATTTAGGATTTTGATGGTCTTGTACCCTGAACCACCATTGTTCGGCCATTGACAATAGTGAACTCAGGGGTAAATAAGTCAAAGTAAAGATGTTTGTGACATTTCCCAGGGTACAATCTGGTCTGCTGAACAGCTGGGGCCCCTCAATTCTCCAGCCTGGGGTGCCTTTTACTCTGCTTTGCTGTGAGAACTACCATTCTTTGTCTGTTCACACACAGCCTCTAGCATGTGTATCACTCCCAGATGAATTATAGGAGAGCTTCTAGTCAGCCACTCCTGAATTATATTGCAGAGTAACACCAGCAAACTCCCAGTTCCAGACTTGTCCCCAGAAATGTGTATCTTGTACTGCCCAGCTCTTTCCTTCTGTGCAGTACCAGCTCATAGAAAGTCCATTGTTTCATTAATAGAAAATGAAATGCACACACCCTGTTGTCTCAAATGGAGGTTTTCAAATACCACAATTCAAACATCCACTGGTTTATATAAAACAATAAAACAAGTTTAACAACTACAGAAAGATAGATTTTAAGTGATTACAAGGAATGAGGTATAAAAGTCAGAATTGGTTACAAAGAAATAAAAGGTAAAATGCAAACTAATATCTAACTTGATAAGCTAAGTGAACTTGAAGCAAAAAGGTTTTTCTCGCCACATGCGCACAGCAGTCTGGCTGAGTTCCTTCAGCCAGGACCCAGTTCAATGATGTTTCTTTTGTCTTTCAAACATTGTTGATGCCATGAGTAAAGATGAGGGGAAAGAGGTGGTTTGTGTCCTCTGTTCCTAATCTTTATATCTTCTCCTTCTCTTTGAGAATCATCTCCAGCGGGGGTTCGGGTGACGGCCAGTCTGTTCACATGGGAACCCCCATTGTTCCATTGCCAAAATGTAAATGTCTTGCTTACACCCTTCTTTCTGCCAAAGAATGGCTGCTTAACCAGATGATAGTCCATTTGATTATGCTGACACCAGGCTGTGGTGCTGGCTAAACTTTTGTCTCTGAGGAACTGATTTGGGCTGCTTCCCCAGATTTGGAATGTGCTTTAGTAACATCATACAGTAGAATCTTATAACTTTACATACAACATTGCCACACATATTTTACCAGGACAATAATGATCAGCAAATTATGAGTTTTCAAATGATGCCTCACAAGGCATACTTTGTTCAAAATGTATCATAGTTTTGTAAAAGTGGTGAAAATAGGGATACAGTCTCATGATTTTAGTGTAGGTATTCCTTTAAAAAAATTCCCTTATTCTTAATTTACAAGGTGGTTTTTGGAAGCCTCAGCATTTTACAGATTAAACTGCATTTAAGACTTGCTCCTGTAAGCTACAGAGCACCCACTGCCTCTCCTGGAGTTGAAGTCAGTGGAAGTTCAGGGTACTCAGCACTGCCAAGAATTTGACCTTATATATTGAATGGGCTCACTTCAATTCAGTCACCCCTGAAATGCAGCCATTTCTGGGCTGAAGTGTGACAGTTGCAACACAACACTTTAGGGAGAGGGAATGAAGAAGAACAAAGTCTCTGAATAAAGCAGCAAAGGATTTACACAGGTGAAATTCAATTGCCTGTATTGGAATTTGGCCTAAAACTTGGTGAAGATTGCTCCAGAGAGTCTTCAATGACAACCTATTGTTGGAGTGTCTGTGTTAAATCTTCTCCAGGAAGGACTGTCAAGCCTGCTCTCATGGGAGCTCCCCTCAGAGCTCAGCTTGCAGGGGTGGAGGAGGCTCTTTGCCAGCATAGCTGTGCTCTGCACAAACACAGTTTGGAGCTCCCCGTGTCAGCACAAAGCAAGTCTGCTTCTTCTGCTGAGTTTATGAAAATCTGCTTTAATGAACATTGTCCCGCTACATCAGAGGTGGGGTCTACAACTTTTAAAATAGCAACATACTCACAATGTATTCTGGGTCAGACTCTCAGCTGCTGTAAATCCAGGTAGCTCTGTGGAAGCCAGTGAAGCAGGGATGACTTACACTAGCTATGGCTCAGGACACTTGTGTGTGGAGGCTTTGCAATGTGAACTGGCAGCAGGAGCAGGGTTTTTTGACCCTGGCTACTGTTAGTATTAATCCCTCCTGCTGCACCAGTGAAATACAGTAAAACCTGCCAAGAGCAAAAGTGGTCGCTTGTAAGAGGTGGTCTCTCTTCAAAACAAGTGGTATTGCACCCTTACTTCTGCTCTGCTGCTGGCCATGGCGCCCGGCCAGCAGCCACCACTCTCTGGCTGTCCAGCTCTGAGGCAGAGTGGAGGGCGGTGGCTGCTGGCCAGGCACCCAGCTCTCAAGGGAGTAAGAAAATGTGGTCGCTGGTCATAGATGACAGGTGGTCTCTCTTCAGCGGTGGTTGCTAAGGCAGGATTTACTGTACCCTGAAAAGGCTCCGCTGAGCTCAGTGCCTCCTAGCGGCAAGGAAATGCACCGCTGAGGCTGCTTTCTTCTCCCCCCATGCAGAGCCATGCTAGCCTGCTCACCGGCCTGCGGGGAAGGTGGTGGGTGGGGAGTGTGATGGTGGCGTCTGGCAGCTGGGTGAGAGGGACAAAAAGAACAACCCAGGTGCGGTGAGTAAGAAAAATGAGAAGGGGGAAGACAGAAACACCCCATGGGGGCAGAACAAGGAGAGCAGGAAGGGGGGAATGGTTAGCAACAGCTTGGGACTCCAGGAGAGAAGGATCCAGGGCTGGCCATGAGTTGTCCTCTGTCAGCCAGAGCGAGAGGGGAATGTTCCCCGGAGCAGTGGAAGAAGAGGGTGAACGGCACCTACTTCCTTTAGATGCTGAACACGATTTCAGAGCGAATCAGTTTGTAAAGCTAATTTCCTGGAGGAAGGCCCCCAGCTCCTCCCAGATTACCTAGATTCATCAAACCACAGCTTTCTATCCCCTTTCTCTTCCTCCCTGCCCAGATGCGCCAACGTCATTCTGCAGTCACTGCTGCAGTGGAATAGCCAGTATTCAGAGCAGCGCAAAGAAACCCCTTCGCAGGGTGCTGCAACCAGAAGACATTACTGAGCCTAAAAAACTTGTGAACAATGCTTCATATTCTTGAGTGCCATCTCGTGGCACCACGTCCATCGACTATCGACACATTGCCATTCCCTTCTGGGGTGGGGGAGGCACTTTTGTAATAGCCAGTACCCTCCTGGAGCTGTGCTACAGTGCTTCACCGCTGTTAGGACCTAAGCATCCTAAATCTGCCCTTCCCTTCTTTCCCCTCCGAACTACCATATTCCCTCAGCTAACTTTCCAACACTTGTCACCAGCTGGGGCCAAAGCCTTCATCAGTACTCACTGTGGGACGGTCTGTCTTCACTGCAATATAAGCCCAGGGTTAGTAGACCTCGAGTTAGCAGACCCTGGGTTTGTTAACCTAGGGCTTAGAATCATAGAGCCACACAGTTAGAAGGGACTGCCAGGGTCATCTAGTCTAACCCCCTGTGAAGATGTGTCTAAACCATCCAAGACAGACGGTTATCCAGCCTCTTTTTGAAAACTTCCAGTGAAAAAGGTCCCACAACCTCCCAAGGCGTCTGTTCCATTGTCCTACTGTATTGGCAACCCCCCCAGCTTTGTGTCATCTGCAAACTTGATCAGGATGCTCTCTACACCTACATCCAGGTCATTAATATTGATGTTAAACAACACCGGACCCAGAACAGATCCCTACGGAACCCCACTTGAGACTTCCCTCCAATTCAACGTCATTCCATTAATAGTTACTCTGTTTGCGGTTGTTTAACAGATAATGTATCCACGTAATGGTAGTTGCTCCAGCCTGCATTTCCCCAGATTATTTATCAACATGTCATGGGGGACGGTGTCAAAAGCCTTGCTGAAGTCCAGGTATATGGTGTCCACCACGTAGTCCCCAGCTACCAAATCAGTTACCCTGTCAAAGAGGGAAATCAATCTGGTTTGGCAATGATTTGTTCTTGGAAAATCCAGGTATTCACAAATTGAATGAGCATCTACACTCATGTGTAACCCCAGGTTAGAAATTGTTGAACCCTGGGTCCCAACCTGGGCCTCCAGCATCTACACTGCATTGTGTGAGCTTATGTCCAACCACCCCATCCCAGAACTCCTCGTGTCCTCCCAAAAAGTGGCTACTGCAGTTCTTTGTTGGTAGTACAGCGTGGGAAAACTTGACAGTCCACCAAACCTGACTGCCCAGGGCACAGGAAGTCGGCCTGTGGGATACTTTTGGCAGAGTCCCAGAACAAGACTCCAATGGGGCTGCATGTACACTGCAAAGCCATAGGGCTTGAACCCTGGGTCAGATTCAGACCCTCCATCTCTGTGGGGTCTTGGCTTAGTGCAATTTGTGTGTAGACGGAAGGGGGGTTAGGCTTGAGCCTGAGTTTGAGCCCTGGGCTTACACTGCAGTGCAGACGTAACCTGTGAGGCCCATGTGTCAAAGGAACATCAGTGCTTCATAAGAACACTGCATCTCTAGCTGCTCAAGTCATCAGGAATTATTGACTCAGTGCTGTAGATATGCTGAACCTGCTTTGCATTTTACACTACTGAAGTTCTGTAGAGTGCAGTATTTTGTTAACTGCATTGAGATACTAAGCATTGTAAAGCATTATGAACTATGCTTGTTCTTGAAACTATGTCCCGACCAATAATTTATACACCTCCATGAGTCTGAATATACATTTTGTTGAGATGGCCACTCTGAAAAAGACAAACAATTCTGACTACATGAGTTTATCACATATAGTAATTAGACCATAATGCACCATAACTTCACCTGAAAGATTAAGAGCTGTTTTACTCTCTCTTTACAGTTCAGAAGGCACAAAAGCATGAACAGCCTTTGAGAAAAGAAAATATCACTAAAGCTAAATGGGTTTTAAGCTATGTGTGTGTGGACTGCTCATTTGTTACCAACAGCAGCAGCAGGTAGATGCAGAATTTATGCAAAGATTTATACAGCTACAAAAGGGAATAGAACCCTGTACATTTATGAAGCATCATCACCTGGGCATTCATGACCATACCCAGGCTTTTGCAGGTTAATCCCCCACATGCATGCTCTCATTTGCATGTCAGTGCCCAGAGGGCATTGGCATCACACAGCTATTTCATAGCAATGTGAGGATGGGAGCTCCAGCGGCAGACGGGAAGGCTCGCTGGGGTACTGTCTTTATTACAAGTCAGAATTGCCTTCTGTCTACAAGTCAGTTAAATCTTAACATTCAGACCTTTCCTAAATCAAATGAGATACAGCTTTAAAATCTAGAATGTTGAAATCGAGTCACTGGAAAGACAACCCCCCCCTACATTTTTTTAAATTAATCCACTTGGTTTTGAGCAAAACAGAGCCCACCATTCCAAGACACATTTCAAGCCCCTGTACTAAGAAAATCCAACACATTTTAATTTTGTTGTTATTAAAATTGTTGCACCCAGGCTGACACTAAGTTTCAGCCAGACAGATTTTGAAAGAAGAGGTGCTTTCAAAATAAGAATTTATAACAAAGCCAACTCAGAGTAGCTGTGCCCCTGAGCTCCCGCTCACTGTCAGCAGAGATACCCTTCGGTCCATGTGAACGAACCTGGTGAACCATTCAAATTCCTGCCAAGGTTGTGAAGGATACTAAAACAGGTGTTTATCTTCCTAGGACCCAGTCAATTTAGAAGAGGGTTTGGACAGCAGCAGTATAATAGAAGACAATTTAGAAGTGCCATGGCTGGTCCAAGAAGAGTAGCTGCCACATTAAATGGAGCGAGCCCTTTAAACCACCAGGCTTTAGCTCAAGAGGTAGGCTGGGGAAGGGGAGGGGGAGGCGGGAATCCACAGCTGCTCCTCAGTGTCACAGCATTCTGGAAGGGCCTGGGGTTTTTAGCTTGACTTGCCTAAGAGAAGAGAATCTAAGTAGAGAATATTTTATTTGTTGTCTAGTTAGGCTTATAGGATGTGAAACTCGTAATGCTGCCAATGTATTTTACGGGATCTGTGCCCTTGGCTGTGCACGAGCAGCCCTGACTTACAGGGATTCCTTACAGAGAGAGACCATGTCACCGCCCCTTACTTATTTTGGCCTCTCCCAAGGAAATAGCTGAAGAGACGCCGTCATTTCTGCCCACACAAGGCATGATCCAAAGCCCTCTGAGGTCAACGGGAGGACTTCCCTTGATTTCAGTGGGCTTGGAAAGATTAGGTCTCTGTGGCTCATTGGCACGTGGATAATAGCCTTTGATTATACGAGGTGCTAGTGACAGCTTTTGTTAAAAACAGGAGGCCTTGTGGCACCTGAGAGACGAACCCATTTATTTGAGCAGGAGCTTTCCTGAGCGACAGCTCACTGCATCGGATGCATACCGTGGAAACGGCAGCAGACTTTATATACACAAAGAGATCATGAAACAATGGGTGTTACCGTACACACGGTCACGAGAGGGATCAGGTAAGGTGAGCTATTACCAGCAGGGCCCACCTTGATTATCACTACAAAAGGTTTTTTTTCTCTCTTGCTGGTAATAGCTCACCTTACCTGATCACTCTGGTTACAGTGTGTACGGTAACACCCATTGTTTCATGTTCTCTGTATATATAAATCTCCCCACTGTATTTTCCACTGCATGCATCCAATGTAGTGAGCTGTAGCTCACGAAAGCTTATGCTCAAATAAATTGGTTAGTCTCTAAGGTGCCAGAAGTCCTCCTTTTCTTTTTGCGGATACAGACTAACACGGCTGCTACTCTGAATCCAGCTTTAGTTAAGGTTGCTCAACTGCTTCCATGATAAACTCCCCTTTTTGGGTTTCTTGTAATTGTCTCAGACTTTCACTTTGTCAGGCTGAAATTCTTCAGGAGCGGGGTTTTGTTTGGTTGGTTTTTAAGGTCTGAGTGAAAGTGATTCAGCTATTTTTAGCATCAAGAGTATACGGGGAAAATACACCTTTACCATTAAAATCATTCTTGTAACTTTATTTTGAATATCTCTAGCACCAAAATAGTTTGGGACAGAAAGCTGAAATTTAGTATGTAGATAGTCCTGATGGAGGAGAGTTGCCTTTTGATTTGGGTGAGTTAGGAAGGTTTGAAAATAGTACTCCACAGGAGCTGAATACATTTTTTAAAACTAATGATACCTCATAATGACAATCTCCTTTGAGCGAGAGAAGGCAGTGCTGCATCTGCAGGTGTATAGAATTTCGTATTTGTTTAAAGGGCATGTAATGAGTCAGGTACGTACTGACTATGGCAGGATATTAAGAGAAATTCGGAAGTAGTTGCTAGGAAGCATAATTCTAAGGTAGCTTTCATTCCACAGAAATGAACAGAGTAGGAGTCTGTGGAAACATGCATCGGTCAGTGGGTGGTGACAGTGAGATGGATATGGCCCTACAGACATGGCGGGGTATAGTGAGTAGCAGTATTTAGAAGTAATGTGGAAACCCTACTTTACCGAATGGGTATCTTCTGAGCTGTCTGTTCTTCCACATTCTAAGGCTCTGAGCCAGCAAGGTATTTCAGCACATGGGCGAACAGTAACCAGTAGTTTATTGACTGAGGTGGGATTTCAGGGGGGTTGTGACCTGGGGTCATACTGTCTTCGCACAATCCTGTGTCTCCACAAACAAGTTTTGGTATTTCTGTCTCTCCTATGAAATAGAATACAGCTGCGCCCGCACACTCCCTTTGAAACAGGCTAACCGGTCATTCATAGTGTCAAAAAATTGTTAATTACAGTTAAAAAAAAAGACATGATTGAGGAAAAGAAGTTGCTACAATATCACAGGTCAGAGGAAATAGCCATGCCATAGTGGGAAAGACCACAAAACATCTCAGGGTTTAATAAGCTGAAGGGATCGATTACATACCAAGTCAATTATCAAAGAAGAAAAAACACTTACACATCAGGATCTTTCATAACAATACAAAAGTCACATAGGAAAGAAGAGACAAGGTGACCCTTGGAGCACCTTTCCCTGACCTGAAGAAGAGCTCTGTGTGGCTCAAAAGCTCACCTCTCTCACCAAGAGAAGCTGCTCCCATAACAGATTTTACCTCACCCTCCTTCTCTCTAATATCCTGGGACTGACACAGCGACAACTGCCCTGCATAGGAGAGAAGTCAGTCCCAGCGAAATTAACATGTGGACAGTGGGAGTGAGTAAATTCCAAGGATGAATCTCCCTCAAAATTGCCAAACAAAGCCCATCCTGAATGATGCGATGAGGAATGCAGACTGCGTGGACACACTCAGTCTTTACAGCAGACCAAGTATCACCATGTACAAAAGGGAAGCAAAACCCCCCAGCAAACAAACAGGTTTAAGTCTGTCTGATCCCCATGGCAGTGTGACTGGGGATAGATCAGGAACGACAGCCATACGAGCATTCTGATAGAGACTAATCCCCTGCTTTGTCATATTTTGTGACCCTTTTCTTTGGCTACTGAGAAAGCCAACGCAGCAATTCTAGCTGATCGCAAGCGAGCTGTTGCTATGTTTTAGGGCAACCAGAATGATGAAGTGCTTACAAAAGCTGACAGCGGACAGCCTGAAGCACAGAGACGGCTACCCCAGCGCCCCAAGAGATTCAGAACAGCGGGAGTCACTGGCGAAGCCCCATCTAGAAGGTAAACAGTCTGGTATATTGATCTGATCGAGAAATTATTTCCTTGTCAATTTGTAAAACTCTCTCGTGCTATTAAATCTCCTCTCTTGTTCTGCATTGACTGGCGAGGTGCAGCAGCCATGGAGAGCACTGTACTTTATGAAATATTCCTTTTTATATTGCTAAAATCACTGAGAAATAAGTTTACTGCATGCTTGTGTTTAATAACCAGACATTTCCTCTGACACTTTTAATGAATACATTACAGTTTCAACTTGTATTAAACATTTTGTCCGGCACTTTGAGTGCACTTGGAAGGTGGAGTTACTTTTGCTTTTATAAAAACAGAAATTTTAACTTGAAAATAAAATAAAGGTGCTAAAACCTTAAATGCCAGAGTTCAGTAGCCTAATTCACACTGTATCGGACCTCACTGTACAAGTAGCCCCACCAGTGAGACGACTTATGGAGTAAGGTACTACTGACACCAGCAAGGTGGTCTGAATCTCGGCTCAAGGGACTGAAAATAAGGAAAGCAAGGAAATTCTAAGCGAAGGCTGATGCTCTGTTCAGACAGTTTAAGGCTAGAAGGGACCATTGGATCAGTCTGACCTATAACAGAGGCCACAGTATTTCCCAGAGTTACTTCTCTGCCAGCATGACTTGGAGATTGGACTGCACTATGCACGACTGAGTTCAGTGACACATTATGATGCCATGGGGAAAGGGAGCACAAGGGGTGGGATTCTGCGCTGTGGCTGGAGATGGTCGGAATTTTTCTGTCCATTTTTCATGAAACCAGCTTGATGTCAACAAAATGTGATTTTTTGATGAAAATATTTGAAATAAAACAAAAATGTTACTTTTGTTTTGAACTGACGTGTTTGAATGCTTAAAACATTTCTGTAGGCAAGTTTTGGTTTTCTAATTTCTGTTCCCCCACCCCCATCTCTTTTCCTTTTTTACTCCCTTCCCCCAAATTAAAATATGGAGAGAGAGGAGGGGGCAGGGAAGAAACCCCAAATCTGAGAATTGAAAATTGACGTTTTTTTCTTTTTGAAAAACCAGACTTTAATTTGTCATTTTGTTCAGAAATGGTCAGGGGGATAAAATGGAATGGTTGACCCGCTCGTAACAGAATAACGGTGTAACGAGAAGCGGCCCAGGAGCCTGGTTCCAGCTCAGCGTACCATGGCATCACTCCTGTTATGCCAGGTACGGTGCTGGCACAAGAGACTTTGGTTCCTCCCAGCTTTGTGCGAGAAGCGGTTGGAATGTCTTACCAGTCGCAGCAACGTGGGCAGCCCTGGGAAGCAGGCAGATCCTGATTTGCTTTTCATGTGTTTTAAAATCAAACCCGGTTAGATTATTTCCTAGTCAACGGATGACAAGACCTTTCCCAATCCTCCTCCTCAAAGCATTCTTTTAATTGCAGGCCTTTCACGCTAAACAGGAGACCAGCCTTCCAGCAGAGGCAATCCAAAGTCAGCTTTACCAGAGGGGTCAGTGTGCGACAGGCTCTTGTAAGATCTGACAAGCTTGATAATTATTTTAATGTGAATAGTCCTTTCTCCCTCCCTCCCCCATTTGCATCCTTGCTTCTGCAATTAGCTGGGAGAAATAGCCGTTGTTATACAGAGAGCGTGGCCCAGAGCCTCAAAGGCCCCTACGCCCATTGAAATCCAGCTGGGCCTATATTCCAAAAGCGAGTAAGCACATGCAGGATCGGGGCCATAGTTGCTCTTATGCTGTTCAGTCCGTTCTGAGTGTCTTGCACGTGTCCTGGTGCTGGCCTCCAAGGGTGTGTCTGCATAGGCTGGAGGCGCAGTGCTGTGGGCTGAGTCGACAGACCTGGGTTAGCAGGGCGCATGCTAAACACAGCTATGGAGATAGCGCTTTGAAGCTGCAGCTCAGGCGAGGGCTGCAAAGCCTAGCATCTTCAAAGGGCTGTCTACACCGCCCTGCTAGAGCGCCCTGCGAGCCTGGCTCGCCGGAGTCTGGCGATGCAGGCTGCGGGGACATACCCTAAACCATCACGTCCATTTCTGGCCTCTGTAACTCTTCTCCTTCTACCGCTAGAGATCAGCCCGGTGCCTGTGGACAATCGTGCCCCTTACAATAGTGAATATTAATACAATTTGTTCAAGCCAAGTTTTATGGAGATGCTTGTTGGCATTGCTCCGTGGGCCCTGATCCTGCAATCACGTGCAAAAAGAGCCCACAGACATTTGTGGGCATCAGGATGTGCAGGACCCAGGCCCACAGCACTAAATGATAACGCTGCATTACAAACACAGTCTCAGCTTACCACTTGGCCTCTGGCTAATAACAGTAGAATAGGCGATAAAGTAGGGTTTGCTTGGACTGCATGACAGAAGGGACAGAGCAAAATTAGCCCAGACCAATCCATACATTACAGTGAAAACCAAATTTCACTGAGACTTATTGGTGATATGCGGTGTAGCTATAGCCATGTTGGTCCCAGGATATTAGAGAGAGATGGCGGGCGAGGTAATATTTGTTATTGGACCAGCTTCTGGTGGGGAGAGAGACAAGCTGTCGAGCCACACCCAGCTCGTCTTCAGGGCTGGGGAGGGTGCTCCCAGCACCACAGCAAACAGGAGGTGGAACAGAGTGTTTAGCGTAAGTAGTTAGTGATATTCTAAAGGGCCATTCACCGTAGAGTGGTGATATTCTGTGTAAAAATTGTTATTTTAAGCTACTTTAGAGGGAATTATTTCTCTGAGGGACAATTTTATTTTACAGCAAACAGAACCACACGCGGAAGGGAAACGGCCACGGACGAGAAGGTAATTGGGAGAGTTAGGAGAGACACACACAAATGTGACCAATTCATCACTACGGCAATCAAATGGGCTGAGTTTCTCTTTCTTGGCAGGTGGCACCTGCAGCCCAGCTCGGGAGCAGTTCTAACCATTTCTGTGTCTAATCCTCAGGCCAGCCACATCCGTCTGTGAGTAAAGGGCCCCGGTGTATGGCTTAACATTCTGTTAAGATCTGGGACACCGAAAAGGTCCCCCTGAAATCCCTTTTGCACCTTAGAGCTGAGTGAATCATTCAGATTAAAATTTTCAAAAAAGATATGATCTCGGTCTGCTCCTGGAATAACTGAAAGCGGATTGCAGATTCCTCCCATTTATTCATTACTTGGCTTCACCTGCAGTGACAGAGCGTGTGGGACGAGCGGTGGGGAGTGAACCTGGGACCTCTGGATCTCAGCGTCTCTGTTTGAACTGAAGGGCCGGCTCCGTTGGCTGGTAGTAGCAGATATCGTGCCAGAGCTGGGAAGGCACCATTGGCCCAGTGGGGTGCCATGGATTCACTGTGGCACAGAGGGGCAATGGAGAGAGATGCTGCTCCAGGCCCCGGCTGGAAGAGGGGCTTTAGGGCCATGCAGTGGCAAGGCACAGTCAGCAACTAGCAACCTTCCCCCCCCCGCCCCCTGAACCCCCACGCCCCCCCCACGCCCACCCATGGGGCTGGAGTAGCAGTGGAGGGCTGGGCCCCACTGCCTGGGTATGCCGCAGACTTCATCTCCCTTTAGCCCCAGCACTGCGTGCCTGCTGGGGGTTAAGCTGCACTGGCAGCTGTCCCCTGACAATCACACTCATCAAGGCTGCAGTGAACAATACCCCCAGAAAGGCTAAGGAGATGCAGGTGGCCCTTTCATCTGCCTGCTGCTAGAGAGATAGAAAACAGGCGACCTTTGCTTGCTAACTAAATGCTCCGTACATTCGACAGGCCGGGAAGCAAGCGACCATTCCTCAGAGGTAGAAGACCCCCACCGAGGACAGCCAAGGCCCAGCCCCGAGGAGTGCCGCTAAGATTCAACTTCCGTGCGATGGCGAATCAGGTAGAGCGGATGGCACAAGTGTGTGAATGCTCAGATCAGCTGGACACACCATGCTCCGCGCTGCACGGCTGCAGGGCACAGTTGTCATGTGACCACTCGGATTTTCAAAACAATCCGTTTCAATTTGGATTCAAAACCCCATTTTGTTTGAATTTTACTATTTCAATTTTATGTTTTAAAAAGTAAAAAAAAAAAAAATCTTGGTAACAAAACATTTTGTTCAACGTGAAATAGTTTTTGGGGATTTTCCAGTTTGGCCCCTGAATCAAAACGCTGGTTATTCGCAGAGCTCTGGCTTTCACACTGTCACACACATATGGCCACAGTGACCCAGAATAGCTCCAAGCTCCTGCTTTATCTTTCCTCCCAGTTACTCGCGTTCCTTGCCAGGACAGCATTACTAGATACTGTGCACTCACATGCCCCTTGCTTGTTCCTGTCCTGACTGAGGAGGATCTCCAGCCAAATGCATTTTATCAAGCTCCTTGCACAGCTCCATGGGATGGATAGTTTAATTGACTTGCTGGCTGCAGAAGCCCATTCCTGGCGTGTTTTAATCCATACCCCCTGCAGATCGGGGTGTGAATCACGCTGTGCCCTCCCTTTCCCCTGCAGACCAGCCTGACCTTGGACGAGAGATTCTCCGGCCTCAGGAACAAGAGGCGTTTTACGGCAGCGAGGGACAGCGGCCGGACAGTCACGCTGCCCTAGCGCCATATGTGTGGCCCGGGGACGGCGGATCCAGCCCAGCGTGAATCATGGGCCACCAATAAACACAATTGATTCCCTTTCTGCTGGCTGCCTTGGTATTACAACCTACCCTTGAGTACACACAGAGAGTCAAGGTACTGTCTGGGGCAGGACAACAAGAACTTCAGGGCTAAAGTCTTGGCCAGGCAGTGACCCCTAGATCTGCGTAACTGCCCCCCAGCCAGCGAGTCCTGGGGCTGCTGTGGGCAGACAGAGGCCCTGGTAGCATATCTTTAAGGGAGCTGCAATGCCGGGGAGCCGTGATTTTCCATCATCGCAGGGGGACCCACCAGCTTTGGGAGCAAGTCTGGTCCCCACTGCCAGGACTACAGGGGGTGATCCTGTGGCAGTGACTCCCTCCTGTGCAGGGGAGGATGTCTGGCCCTCTGCCTCTCCTGGGGCCCCCTCAAGGCATCCTGCCAGCCCCTGAGCTCCCAAGTCAGCACCCAGCCTTTCACCCCCATTGGCTTGGCCCAGCGGCCAGCACTTGTTCTCTTCCACTGCTTGGATGGGGGTGCCTGGGAAGGCAGGGAGTCTGAGACCTGGGAGATGGACCAGCACACGGGTGCCGAAAGGAAAGCGTGCCAGTCTCAGGGGAACTTAGGGTAGTTTGCTTTAGTTCTTGTCCACTGAATTCTGAATGATTTATTTATGGGGCAGGCCAAGCACTTACAGACAGGTGTGAAGACAGGGTCTGGGCGCACACACACTTTTCCATCATGGTCAGTGAACAGCTCGCATCAGGAGTGTGACCCAGGCCTTGGGTGCTGGGGGGTTTGCGCTGGTCTGACTAAGGTTGTTGCCCCAGTGCAAACCCCGAGCAGACACATGCTGCACTGATGTGAAGAGCCTCGCACGGGTGAGGCCGACCCTGCTTCGGTGCCAAGGAAGCCCGTGCCGGAGCGAGTTGTTTTTTACATCGCTGCAGCACGTCTGCACTAGGGATCTGCCCGGCGTAGCTCCATTGGTACCTAAGGTTCCCGTGTAAACAAGGCTTTACCTGCACAGAGTTTACAGGGCTGGGGCCTCCTGAGAGCACCTCCAAATGAAGGCCAGGATACAGGCGCTAATGAGCGTGCGCGGTGGGACTTAGACTTTCCCAGACTCAGCTCCGTTACTAAATGCACGCCCCTTCGTCCGTCCGTGAATGCACGCCCCTTCGTCCGTCCGTGAATGCACGGAACATGGCCTGGGCCTGGCTGCTGGCCAGGGAAGGGACTGAATGCTTTCACTTTCCCTTTCACATCAGAGCAACTAACTCACGCACGCACGCGAACATGGTTTTACAGGCGTTTTTGAGGCATCACTAGTTTACACAGAGGTGGCGGGAGAAGTCGTTGCACCGAATAAAACACGTTTAAAGTGTTAGTCCCAATTAGTGATTTTCCCTCAACAGGCATTTTAGCCTAGCCCCAGATACTGGGCACAGTCCCGGGAGTGCGTGTGGTGCACCATGGGGCAGGGCCCGGCCCGGGCAAATGAGACTGAGTGTCTGCTGCAGAACATGGAATCTGCTCCCCGGGCAGGTCCACTGTTCTTCTCCGGGGCGCTAGGGAAGGGGGCAAAGCATCTCCTCATTCCCGTTTATCTTCTGCATGGAACAGATGGTGCTCACCCCCAGATTTAAAATATTCAGTCAGCAAAACAGACAGACTCCAGTCATTACCCATGGATCACATTCCCCTGGCACCAACACGGATACACAGACAATTAGTGACCCCCATTGCAACCCCACTCCTACCATTTCCCAGTTCCCTGGGGCTGAGGAGCAGAGATGGACCCCGCAGCATGCCTGGAAGATTAAGAAACTTACCATAGTAGCAGAATATATATATAAAATAAAATAGCATTCTGGGCTGTGTTGTAAGTAAGACATGGGAGGTAACTGTCCAGCTCTTCTCAGCACTGGTGAGGCCTCGGCTGGTTTACTCTATCCAGTTCTGGGGACCACAATGTAGGAAGGATGTGGATAAACTGGAGAGAGTCCAGAGGAGAGGAACAAAATGATACAAAGGTTGAGAAAACCTGACCTGTGAGGAAAGGTTACAAGAAAACTGGGCATGTTTAGTCTTAAGAAAAGCAGGCAGAGGGGGAAACCCTGATCACAGTCCTCAAATTGCTAAGGGCCATTATAAAGAGGACAGGGATCAATTGTTCTCCATGTGCACTGAAGCACCTAGATATTATGTGAACTTGCAAACAGACCCTAAAAAAGACAATCCCCTTCATCCCAGAAGGGAATGAATGTGCCAGAGAGGGAATGGTTATGAAGATATTTTGTTAAATTGTTCATAAATTCTAAGGCCACAAGGGACCAAAAAAGAAATTATAATTGGAAAAGGTCCAGAGAAGGGCAACAGAAATGATGAGGGGTCTGGAACAGCTTCCCTACGAGGAGAGATTAGAAAGACTTTGACTGTTCAGCTTGGAAAAGAGATGACTAAGGGGGGGATATGACAGAGGTCTATAAAATCATGACGGGTTTGGAGAAGGTAAATAAGGAAGTGTTATTTACTCCTTCCCATAACACAGGACACAGGGGTCAACCATTGAGATGAATAGGCATCAGGTTTAAAAACAAACATAAGGAAGTATTTCGTCACACAGCCTATGACACTCGTTGCCAGGGGATGTTGTGAAGGCCAAAATTATAACGGTTCAAAAAAGAACTAGATAAGTTCATGGAGGATATGTCCATCAATGGCTATTAGTCAAGGTGGTCAGAGATGAAACCTCATGTTCTCAGTGTCCCTAGCCTCTGACTGCCAGATGCTCAGACAGGATGGACCACTTGATGATGACCTGTTTTGTTCATTCCCTCTGGGGCGCCTGGCATTGGCCACTGTCGGAAGACAGGATACTGGGCTAGATGGACGTTTGGTCTGACCCACTGTGGCTGCTCTTATGTTATGTTCATTGTGATCATCATACAGCCACATCACATGGATCATCTCGTCTGACCTCCTCTATAACACAGGCCATGGAATTTCCCAAAACATGCCAAGAGCAGAGGTTTTAGAAAAACATCCAGTCTTGATTTAAACATTGCCAGTGACGGAAAAAAACACTATGATCCTTGGTAAATTGTTTCAATGGTTAATTACTCTCATTGTTAAAAATGTGTGTCTTATTTCCAGTCTGAATTTGTCTAGCTTCAGCTTCCAGCCATTGCATTGTTAAACCTTTCTCTGCTAGATTGAAGAGCCCATTATCAAACATTTGTTCCCTCTGTAGCTACTGATTGACTTGATTACAGCCTATCAGGGTGTTCTCTGCTGTCATCCTGTTGGTACGTTTGTCAGCAACATGGTTGTACCTTGTATTTGTTGTAACCGTTATTAAAATAAAAAAAGTGGGCAGACCTAAGGGCTAAAGGCCACAGTGTTCTTGCCCTTTGCTCCCACTGACTCATGAATTTGGATGGTGCAAGAGAAAAATTTAGCCCTATGTAAAAGTGGACTGAACTAAACCAGCAATATTCCAAAACGTCACAACCCATGGCGTATTGGGTCAGGCATTTGCGGGGGGGGGGGGGAAATCACATAAAACACCACTTTCTGCCTTGCTAAGCATTAAATAGTGAAATGATTGTCTCGAAAATTTAAGTTACTTTGTTTTTGAGTTAGATAGTGACCACAGCATACAGTAGTAGCTCAATGCAGTAGGTAACTGACAGGCTTAACATATCTAATTTAGAAACAATTTTCAGAGTAGTAGCTGTGTTAGTCTGTATCAGCAAAAAAAAACCCACGTACTTGTGGCGCCTTAAAGACTAACATTTATTTGGGCATAAGCTTTCGTGAGCTAAACCCCACTTCAACGGATGCATGCAGTGGGAAATACAGTAGGAAGACATATATACACAGAACATGAAACAATGGGTGTTGCCATACCCACTGTAACGAGACTAAGCAATTAAGGTCGGCTATTATCAGCAGGAGGGAAAAAAAGCTTTTGTAGTGATAATCAGGATGGCTCATTTCAAACAGTTGACAAGAAGGTGTGAACAACAGTAGGGGGGAAATTAGCATGGGGAAATAGTTTCACTTTGTGTAATGACCCATCCACTCCCAGTCTCTATTGAAGCCTAACTTTATAGTGTCCAGTTTGCAAATTAATTCCAGGTCTGCAGTTTCTCTCTGGAATCTGTTCTTTTGTTGGAGAATTGCGACTTTTAGGTCTGTAATCAAGTGACCAGGGAGGTTGAAGTGTTCTCCGACTGGTTTTTGAATGTTATAATGTTATATATAATGATCTGTGTCCATTTATTCTTTTGTGTAGAGACTGTCCGGTTTTTTTAGAAACACTTGAAAGCATTTTTGTGACTCTTTCCTTTTGCAAAACTGAATTTATGCATCACCTTTGCATTTAAAACTGGGGCAAGCTAAACATTTTCTCTGTATAATTTTGCTGCCACTAAGATTTTTATGCTCAGAAATTTCCTCTAGCCCCCAAATATTCCATATGCCCCGCAGGTGGCAGCATTCAGCTGTTTACAGGAGCCTGCGGTTGGTTGCGTAGGATTTCAGCTGAAGAGAGGAAAAAGCTGGAGTGGTAACAAAATTGCACAGACTTTGGAGACCACAGGGAAGGGCATCTGCTAAAGCTGGAAAATATTTCCCTTACAGCAGCACTGGTCTGACTTTATTTTAAATAAACAGTTTCCAGGCTGCCAGAAGATGCATGGAGATCTCTGAGAATTTATGGCCTAAAATGCATCGTAGGGCAAGAGAGGACAGGTAACGTTTATACGGATTTAGTAAAACAAATGTCCAATCAAAGGTCTCGATGGCCCACTAAGCACTGTCTTCTGCAGCAGATATCCTCACAGAA